CTATCTGTTCTTTAGAGAGAAATAGTAAGAGAGTTAATAAAAATACTAACATATTGGCTTGTTCTTCTTATTCTTTTGGTAATGCTGAAAATTGTTTTTCTGATTCTTTTTATAAAGGACATTTCTGAACCATCATATAGTCTCTTGGATAGATCTACCTATTATATGGAAGTACCTTGAGCAAAATTACTGCTTAGGTACTTGAACCAGCTATGTCCCTTACAAAAAACCTATACATCTGCACAGTTTTTAAGTCAATATCTTATACATTTGGTTAATACAAGCTTTCATTCAGCAACTATTTATTGAGTATTTGCCATGTGGTAAGCGCTGGGCTAGTGGCTAGGGGATGCAGTAGTGAAAAAGGCAGACAAGGTCCTTTAATTATGGTCTGACAATTATCATGGGCCTGATTAACCCTGACTCAACTGATACAATCTAATTCCTGAGTCTGTTAAACTGTAGGATATATCATGGGTCGAACAGTCACTCAGTGAAGTCTTATCTGAAACAGCCAGGCAGTTCTACCCTTAATTACAAACCTAGGATCTGAGAAAAAAGAAGGGGGAGGAGGAAGGAAGGGGGGGAAGGACAGAAGAATTATTAGCTGAGGTACTAATGTCACAAAAATACTGGAAAAGTGGCGGAGGCTGAAGGTAGAACCACAGGCCCCAAATCACAGTTAAGTTCAGTCATCATCCATTTCCCTCAAATTCCCCAAAAGCCAAAATAATCCCTGAAAGGGAAGAAGGCAAATAGTATAAAAAGTTCTTGATAATGGATTTACAGACCCAGTGTGGGGAAAGATGTCTAGTAAACTCTTCATTTAAAAAGTCATAACTCTTTTACAACCCCTACAGGGCAATGCATTTTGATAGAGAAGAAATTAAACTCTACCAGTCTGAACCTGGGAGGAACAAAGGGTGATGACAGTTCTGTGGTAAATCCTTTTGGTGCTTCGATCAGTAATGATACAGATTAAAGCAGATGCTTGAGTTCTAAAGCTGTATGGTCTTCCCAGCTGTACATGTTACAAATGTTGGTGAACTAGGTAAAGCCAGTCCATTCACATTTGCACCTCACTGAGAAGGCAATGGCAACCCACTCCAGTACTCTTGCCTGGAAAATCCCATGGACAGAGGAGCCTGGTAGGCTGCCGTCTATGGGGTTGCACAGAGTCAGACGACTGAAGTGACTTAGCAGCAGCAGCAGTTAAGTCTTAGGTGGGTCCAGTTTAAAGCTGTGATGCAGACAGAGAAAATTTCTACCTGTATCCACAGAGCAGGATTTCTTACCTCATATCACAGTGGGGAATGATGAGGGAAAAACAATTTGTACCAATTCATGCTCTGGACAGTCCCCTGGGACAGTGAGAACTACAATGTGAGCTCAGGAGCTCAGCAACAGAGAACTCCCAACACACGTACACAAGTGGCTTGTTCATGGCAGGCTCCAGAGATCTGGGTCTAGCTTCTTACTTTGCCAGCCTCAAGGAGAGTATGATCTCGCACACAATCAAAGGTCACTGGAATGAACATGTTGTTATTTAATCCCTTGTCTGCTCAAGGTCGGCTTTAAATTGACCTGAGAAGTAATATGCCAGAAGTGATCATTTCTGATTCTTGAGCTACACAGTAATCCATAAAATTTTTTAAAAATGAAGTGTCTCTTGGAAGCCCTTACTGCTTCGATTAAAATAAATATCCACTATGTTTGTCCTCCTCTGAAAGGTGTTCTCTGTAAGGTATTCTTCATCACATACTTTGCTGGCACATTCAGAGTGGGCTCAGGAGATGCTAGTCTGGGTGGATGGTTGGAGGAAGTTCCCAGCAAATGGTTTCACCTGTAAAGCACATCTCTGGGGCATTACCAGTACCTGCTTTTCTAAATTCTTCTAAACAAACTAGAGGATCATCAGTTCAGTTCAATTCAGTCACTCAGTTGTGTCCGACTCTTTAGAGACCCCATGGACTGCAGCACACCAGGCCTCCCTGTCCATCACCAACCCCTGGAGTTTACTCAAACTCATGTCCATTGAGTTGGTGATACCATCCAAACATCTCAACCTCTGTCGTCCCCTTCTCCTCCTGTCTTCAATCTTTTCCAGCATCAGCGTGTTTTTCAGTGAGTCAGTTCTTCCCATCAGGTGGCTCAAATATTGGAGTTCCAGCTTCAGCATCAGTCATTTCAATGAATATTCAGGACTGATTTCCTTTAGGATGGTCTGGTTGGATCTCCTTGCTGTCCAATGGACTCTCATGAGTCTTCTCCAACACCACAGTTCAAAAGCATCAATTCTTCAGCACTCAGTTTTCTTTATAGTCCAACTCTCACATCCACACATGACTACTGGAAAAACCATAGCTTTGACTAGATGGACCTTTGCTGGCAATGTAATGTCTCTGCTTTTTAATATGCTGTCTAGGTTGGTCATAACTTTCCTTCCAAGGAGCAAGCGTCTTTAAATTTCATGGCTGCAGTCACCATCTGCAGTGGTTTTGGAACCCCCCCAAAAATAAAGTCTGTCACTGTTTCCCCATCTATTTGCCACAAAGTGATGGGACTGGATCCCATGATCTTAGTTTTCTGAATGTTGAGCTTTAAGCCAACTTTTTCACTCTCCTCTTTCACTTTCATCAAGAGGCTCTTTAGTTCTTCCTCACTTTCTGCCATAAGTGTGGTGTCACCTGCATAACTGAGGTTATTGATATTTCTCTCGGCAATCTTGATTCCAGCTTGTGCTTCATCCAGCCCAGCGTTTCTCATGATGTACTCTGCATATAAGTTAAATAAGCAGGGTGACAATATACAGCCTTGACATACTTCTTTTCTTATTTGGAACCAGTCTGTTGTTCCATGTCCAGTTTTAACTGTTGCTTCCTGACATGCATACAGATTTCTCTCAGGAGATAGGTCAGGTGGTCTGGTATTCCCAACTCTTTAAGGATTTTCCAGTGTGTGGTGACTCACACAGTCGAAGGCTTTGGCAAAGTCAATAAAGCAGAAGTAGATGTTTTTCTGGAACTCTCTTGCTTTTTTGATGATCCAATGGATGTTGGCAATTTGAACTCTGGTTCCTCTGCCTTTTCTAAATCCAGCTTGAACATCTGGAAGTTCATGTTTCACGTACTGTTGAAGGAGAATTCTCCTAGCTTGGAGAATTTTGAGCATTACTTTGCTAGTGTGTGAGATGAATGCAATTGTGCAGTAGTTTGACACTCTTTGGCATTGCCTTTCTTAGGGATTGGAATGAAAACTGATCTTTTCCAGTCCTGTAGACTGCTGAGTTTTCCAAATTTGCTGGTATATTGAGTGCAGCACTTACACAGCATCATCTTTTAGGATTTGAAAGAACTGAATTGGAATTCCATCACCTCCACTAGCTTTGTTCATAGTGATCCTTTCTAAGGCCTACTTGACTTTGCATTCCAGGATGTCTGGCTCTAGATGAGTGATCACACCATTGTGATTATCTGGGTCATGAAGATCTTTTTTGTGTAGTTCTTCTGTGTATTCTTGCCACCTCTTTTTAATATCTTCAGTTTCTGTTAGGTCCATATCATTTCTGTCCTTTATTGTGTCCATCTTTGCATGAAATATTCCCTTGGTAGCTCTAATTTTCTTGAAGAGATCACTAATCTTTCCAATTCTATTGTTTGTTATTGGAGGATCATACTTCTCTGAAATTAAGTGTGGTCATACATCTTGTTTTGACCAATGGAACAGAGCAGAAGTGATATGTGCCACTTCTTGGGAAAAGCATTTAAGGGCTGGCCTTGACCTTCCATCCTGATCATCTCCTGCTCTGCCCATGTGAATGTTCCCAGTGATACAAAGGTGCCACAAGATGAAAGTAATACATGATGTGTGAGTGAGGAAAACACAAACCAAATAAAGCAAAGACAAAAACAAGATTTTGTTACATTAAAGCTATTGAGATGTATGGGCTTGTTGCCTACTCTGACTTCATCTTTGTCTTCTTTCCCTCTTTTTGACAGTCTCCTTTTCTCTTTTCTTGCCTCCTCCCCTCATTACCCATCTCTTCCATCCTTTCCCTATGATTCTACTGCTCTCTTAACTGGAAAAAATAGTAAATATAATGTTTTATACTCCTATTCTTAATTTAAAACATGGACAAATTTGCTTTTGAATAAGAAATGAGGACATTTGAATAAGAAATGAGTACATTGAATGACATATCTCACTTAAAAAAAAGCCTTGAGGTTAAATTAAAAATCAGCTTTAGCTTGTATGAAAAAATGTATGCTTTGAAAAACTTTACTATATTATATAAACATATGGTGTTACCATTGTTGATAGACCCTCAGTTGATTCCAGTGTGGGTTAGTGGCTATCAGGAAAAATAAAAACAAACATAAACCTTCCCTAAACATCAAGCAGCTCAGAAAAACCAAAGATCGCGCTGGAGTAGTTCTGAACAGGAAATCACTTACAGCATGATCAACCACTTAGCTTTCATTGGTAACTTTGTTAAGAAGGCTGCTGGAGCTGGAACATGGAGAAGACTATTCAAGACTAAAGAACATCTAAAGTTATCAAAGGAACTTTGATGCACATCTTCATGCACAGTCATTCACAACATAGTATTTAGCTCCAAGGTCACCCCCACCATTCTGGAAGTTTTTTCAAGCAATTAAAGTCACCCTAATCATGAAGTGGCAGAGAACGTAAGTGCAGGAAATGCAATCGTAGCTTGGCTAATCATGCATATTTAAATAAACACAATAGATGTGTACTCTGAAGACAAATTCAACAAGCTCTGGTTTCAAATAAGAACATGCTCTATTAGGTAAACATGACAAGGGCTTTTAGGCCATTTTACAACACCAGGGAGAGAACTGATGAGGGTTTTACACAAGACCAACTCTGCAGAAATGATCTGGATGCAGGGAGGAGAGGAGAAAGTATGCAACAGTTATATGAGGAAAAGAAGAACATGCGAAGGAAGCAAGAGGTGGAGAATTCTGAAGTTCACTTACTGCCTGTTTTTGTTCTTCCTCCTAGAGGTGGTGAAGATGAAAAAAATGGTAGAGGGAAAAAAGGAGAGAGATTAATGCCCATCACCACAAACATCTGGAAAAAAGTGACAGAAAAGGGTAAATCAGGTCAGACTCATGGGTTCAGAGACCCAAGAGGAGCCTGACCACCATCAGAGCATCATCAGGCGGACAGTGCAAATGTCAAGTTTTTGCCACATCCAGTTCTTTAAATGCTAACTTCTAGAGTTAGAAGGAAAGAACCTCATAAAGCCTCTAGTCCAACTTCCCTTTTTATACACAAAAAAGACATGACTTGCCCAAGGTTACATCACTATTTGGCGTAAACTGAAAGAAGCAGCTCAACCATGACTCAAAAGCTCAATGATCATTCTGTTTCACCATTCACAATATTAAAGTGTGCTTAGATACATTTCTCTATGCCAGTGGTTCTCAAAGTGTAGAACACAGATCAAGCAGCAGCAGCATCACCTGGAAACTTGTCAGAGATGTGTGCTTTGCCCCGTATCCCCCTCGACCAATAGAATCAGAATCCTTGGGGGTGAGGGCAGCACTGTTTCATGAGCCTTTCAGTGGACTCTGAATCCCGCTAGTTTGAGAACAAGTGCTCTTAAGAACCTCCTAGACACTAGAGAGCCCATCTGACCACAGATTCTTTTATTTAGTCTCCTCTCTTCCACGTGTGGAGCTTTTGGTCACTGTGTGGTCCTTCTCAAGGATGCACATGCATCCCCTACCCTTCCCCCTCTAAACTGGAAACTGCTTCAAGGACCTAAGAGGCTTTTCAAAGAGAGTTCTTGACCTGGCTGTCTCATTACTCCAACACAGGTTCGTTTACTCCTCCCTATGCATGAAGCACGAGAAACATGAAGGTAAGGTATGGTCTCTGTCTCTCACAGCCTTATAGTGATGGCGCTCAGAGAGGGCCTTTCCTAACCCTTAGCTCTCAGAAGGCAGCTGTAGACACTGAAGAACGAAGCACAGCGAGGTGGAGATATACACTTCCAAGTTCCTCTCTCTTCAGTCTTGTGCTTCTAAGTTACTCTGTCTTTTAATGGGTCTCTTTGCTTCCTTTTTCTGTGTCTCATCATGGGTAACTGTGGTCATGACACCTCTGCTCTTTGCCCAAATACACAAATCTAAAGCTGTTGCAATGGTTCCATTTAAATTGGATCCATCTGTCTTTACTAAACATGGGTGTAGGAAGTCTTCGGAATAGATGGGTGATTCTCAGTCTGTAGATCTGGGAGCAATGGTGAGAATGATTTCAGTAAAGACAAGGAATTATAAAAGGGAGAGGAATAGTAAGAATCTGGAGAGAGTAATTTTATTCCTGCAAGGGAGAGACATGCATTGGAAATTAAATGGGCACCAAAAATCTCTTGAGGAAACCCCAGTTCAGCACCAGAAGATATTCTTCATTATCAAAGCCCCAGCTGCTAGATGACTGGCCAAACCTAGAACCACAAGCACCCAGGCAAAGAGGGGCCTGAGTGTTAGCTGAGTTCGCCTGAAGAAGTTAGCATGTTCCAGCTTTTGCATCTGGTATGCACGGCTTCAGTTAGAAGGGGTTAGAGTTTTACAGTTGGGGAACGACCTTCCTGCTTAGTCAGGCTTTCCTGTGAGGCAGCACACTTTTCTTCCATTCATCCGTCAAGGCAAACAGCCACAGAAGAGTTATTGAACAATTCAAAATATGTTTTTATTGCTGGCATTAAATGTTGAAATGGAAACTGGTAGGGGAGGGACAGGGCAATCCTGACAAGTTGGAATTGCATCTGAGATCAAAAGACCAGTATATAATGTCTTAGAACTGTTTCTAAGACACCTTATTCTCACTGCTTTCTCCAGGTTGGGTATTGAAGACAACATCACCCTGGCTCAACAGAATAGGGAAGTTCAGAAAGCAAGGTTTCATGTTTGCACATTTGTGACACTGCTCTATAGAATTTATCCAACGACATAAAATTGTGTTAATTTGCAGTAGATGCATGTCAGGTTAGGATGGGTGAGTGGACAGGGCAGTGTTTCTAGGACTCATAGAGCCCCCACGTGCATTGGGATTGGCAGAGAATTGGTGAGGTGTTACTTAGGATGCTGTTTAATCCAAATTCACCAAATTTAATCAGATAAAGGCTCTGTCAACATAATAAACAGGTCAGATATCAAGTCTTAGAATCTTTTTGTTATCAATTAGTTAGGGTCAGTAAAGATTGACTGATGACAAGGCAGGCATAGGAACCAAGTTGATTTAAAGGGGAGTAATAATGCCTTAATTATAAAGTACAAATCTAGGATTGCTCAAGTTACCTGAAAGTATGGGAGACCCATCCACGTGGGGGATATCTGGCTTAGCAGCCAGAGTAATGCCACAGCCACTGTAGTCACTGTCATCTATATTTTAAAAATTCATATTTCAAATCTCATTTGCAAATGAGGTTAAAATTTAAAACTATAGAATTCATTTGGTAAATGTATTTCAAAAGCAATACTGGAAAAATGGAAAAAGAGGCAGAAAAATATTGGGAACATGATTAAGAAACAAACACAAACATACAACTATTTCTGGATCAAATAGTAAGTTCGAGGTAGAGGTTATCCATATATACTCATTCATCGGAGGAAAAAATGTAAAGAAAAGATACATTCTGAAACATGGGTACTTGAGTGTCAGTCTGTATTATGTCATTTGGAAAAAAACAACAATAAGGAGGTGCCTGATACTCCCTGGTGACAGGGACTGAGTCTTAGTCACCATTATATACCACATAGCTAAACAGGACTCTTAGGAACTCAATATGTTTCTGCTAAATAAATGGTTTTTACCCTGCCTTATCCCTCCCCTCCCCTCCCCCAAATTTACGATTTTTGCTGAATGAATTAATAAACAATGGTGACACTTCACATGTACGCTTCTCCAAATTATCGATTTTCAGATAAACAGACACAGTATATAGTATTTCCCTGGAGCAGTAAAATGAAAGAATTCCCTGTGAAACAGAAACTTACTGTGTGGTATATTTTAATTCATGAGTATCCCAGATCATGTGGCTCAATTGTCCATTTGACTAAGTACTTACAGCTGTTGTATGAGGGCACTAAATGCTAGCGGATTGAACATCAGTGAAAGCAAGACAGTCCTTTGAAATTAAAATTAGAATTCTGAAGGGTACTTTTACTATTTGTTAGTAAATGTAGTTTTCATAGTAGGAAAACATCTTTGAGATTTTAAGAGAAGTCAATGATTCCTATGTATAACCTTTTAGGAGTGCATATAATACACAAATTAAGTTTATGCTGTAACCCTTTTAGGAAGCTGGACACAAGGTCTGAGATTTTCAACTGTGAATTTTAATCAATGGATTAAAAAAGATGACATTCCTGGTTTATGTTTTCAAATCCTTTCTCCCTTTTTGAATGACCACAGCCTGTCAGGTGGATAACGATAAGGCATTTAAGAGCCTGGGAGGGGATCCTACAAAACAGAGCAGTGAGGTCCTGCTTATTCTACTGAAATTGTAATTAAAAGACACCAGCTGGAAATACAAAGAATCGGAGGGTTTGGGAACAGGGTTGCAGGTACCAGCTCCCTCTGCTTAGGCCTTGAACACAAGTATCAGGGGTACACAGTGAGGTCAGGGTAATGCACATGGGACCAGGGCCAGGAACTTTGAGGAACAGGGAGGCCCATCAGCTGACCAGGCCCACCAGCTGACGGGAAAGCCTGTGATACTTAGGGGAAATGCATTCTGACTTCCCTTCAGTTTGCATAAACATTTTTGCCTTTTACAAAAATCACCCTGGGGTACCTTCCCATTTATGTTCTGGGTAATATCTGAGAACATTTTTCTGAAAGGGAGGTAAATCCCCCATCACCTCTGTCCTCTGGGTGGACTAACCCCACAGCGGCAGAGCTCTCACAGCCCCGCACAGCTCCAGATGCTGCACTGGCCCAGTGTGTTTAAGATCGCCCCTGCTCTCCTGAGTGGGTGACCGGGTTGTTTGGCTGGGTACTTGACAGCTATTTGAGGGATCTGGGCCAGGTTTTAGGCATAAGGTTTTCTTTAAACAAGACCCATTCAGACAAACTATTTCTCAGGAGAAATCCTGCTAACAGGGTTAATGTAGAAACATGTTTCCAAATACCCTAATACCCAGGACCAAAGCTAGGAAAAACTCAGCTCAAGACTAAAAGAAATGATTGTCTCGAGCAGGCCAAAAGTCAGTTCAAAACACAAACACTCCATTTACCCAAGCTGCCAATACCACGAGCTTTATTATTAAAGGATGGGCTGATGATGAAGTTGAAGAAAAGTCTTCCAGCTGATCTGTTCCTGGATTTCCCCTCCAAGTCCAGACCCTTGTCACTCCAGGCCTGAATGATTTCACTAGCCTCCTATTATCCTTTAGTTTCTCCTCTTCCTGACCTGTTGTGTACATTTTCCTAAACTATTGTTTTCAAAACCTTTAATGACTTCAGCTTATCACAGGATTAAATCCACCCCCTTAGCCTGGCTTCTTTCTGGCTTCTAACTGTGACATACCATGAAATGCAATGGTTTCAGAGTATAGACAGAAAGACAGTAGGAATTCACAGCATAAACAAATGTACCCTGGTATTGCTGCTACAGGGCTGGTAAATACTTCCGCTCAGTGCCAGGCAAGCTGTCCAGGTGAAGACATTTAAATGCCAAGCATGCCTTTGCTCTAGGGTATGGGGGCTGTAATAGATTTTTCAATAAAAAGTAGTGAGGACTAAAATTATTCTATATTTTTCAAGCCCCAATATACCAAACTTAGAGCTACCTGCTACTTTATTGCTCCTAATCGAGCAAAATTATCGATTAGAGTTGGTTTGATTAGGGTGGTTTTCCTCTATAATACTTATTAAAATAGCACACAATATTTGGTAAGTATTCAGGTACACTATTTGAAGCTTTGTCTTAAAAGAAACTATATAATTGAGAAATATTCATTTTTATATAGCTAATAACCTATTTGTAAACATTCTTATTTATTCATAAAAGCACATCACTTTGGTTCTGGTTACTAATTTTTTGTAATTGGGCTTTAAATAGTTAACCCTTTAGCCTCATCCTATTCTGACATCACAGGGAAGGCAGAAGCTGAGCTGGGGGTGAAGGTGGACAAGAAGAGCTGAGGTGGTAGGAGGAGACTGGCCGCTGCTCTTACCTTCAGTAGCTTCATCAGCCCTTCCAGCTGGACCATCAGCTCCCGCCTGCTCTCCTGCAATGCTGACATCCTCTGCTCCAGTTCATCTTTCCTCTGCCTGTCAGAAAGGAAAAGCTCATGAGAAATGAAGAGATGAAGCTCTGATGCTGGACATATAAAATAGTGATAGTATCTGTTTTGCCCACTTTGCTGCTATGAGAACAGCATGTAAAAGTGCCTTGGAAAGTATACATTATTGTAGAGCAAAAAAGTATTGTTAATATCATTAAAGTCATTTTTTTAATTCTTCAGGAAGTCGAATACCTCATTTACACGAATTAGTTCAAATTTAAATTAACAGTGGAGAAAAATGTGTGAAAACTGCTCAGATAAGACAGGATTCAGTCAGTGCTCCCAGAACCACCCATCAGGCTCTGAAAGTGTGACAGACTTGAGGATGACTGTCTCAGAGAACTTGGTTTCCCTGAGGACAGATTTCATGCCATCAAGTCTAGGTCAATCTGTCCAAACCCAAACTTAAGACTTTCCTTCCTAAATGGTTCTCTTTCTCAGTTTCCCCATCTCTCTTACTTTTTCTTCTAAGCTTTTATGGCTGAAAAACTCGATCCTCTCTGATACTTTCCTGTTCATTTCCTAGATTTCATCATCACCCAATTCAGATGATTCCTGAATATCAGGTGTCTATCTTTCTATTCCTGCTTCTCTGACTTTATCCAAGTATGCTTCACCTCACACATGCAATGGTCTCCTAGCTTGACTAATCCTGATTTCATCTACGATGACTGGAATATAAATCAAGAGATTGAGGCTCACCATTTTACTCACTATGCAACCTTGGACAAGTCACTTAACCTGTCTTAATCTCAATTTTCTCTTCTCTAAAATGGAACTAATAACAAATTACTAACAGTAACATTTTTAAAAGTTTTTTTGATGTGGACCATTTTTAAAATTTTTATTGAATTTGTTACAATATTGCTTCTGTTTTGTGTTTTGATTTTTGGGTGGTGAGGCATGCGGGATCATATCTCCCCAACCAGGGATTGCACCCACACTCCCTGCATTAGAAGATGAAGTCTTAACCACTGGACCACCAGGGAAGTCCCAACAACTGCACTATCTTGAAGATCAAGTAAGATGATGGACATGAAAGCATTCTGTGGCATTACAATGCTACTCAAAGGAAAGCTGTACTCCTTTCATCATTTCATGTAATAACCTAAACAGAATTTCTAGCATCACTGACTCTGACCTGCATGGTCTAGACCCCTGTTGTCCAATGTGGTAGCCATTGGCCACATGTGACTACTCAGCACTAGTCTGAATTGAGAAGCACTGTAAGTGTAACTTACACACTGGATTTAAAAACTTAGTGTGAATGAAAGTAAAATATCACAATAACTTTTAATGTTGATTAAATGTTGAAAAGATAATATTTTAGATTAGGCAGGTTAAATAAAAGAAGTTTTAATGACACCTATTTTCTTTTAGTTTTTCAATATGGTTGTTAGAAAAATTTTAGTACATAGATGGCTTACATTATACTTCTATCAGAGAGAATATTGCTACAAACTCTACCTACATTCAATCCTCAGTTCCTCTGTTTCCCTTTCTCTTCTGTGTCTGGACCTCCAGCCGTGGTTCACTTTGTCCTAAGCAGACGGCATCACTTTATGGCTCAGTGCTCCCCTGCTCTCTTCCAAATACTATTTACTCCTTAGTGCCCATCCTAAACGTAACTCTTTTCAGGAAGCTATTCCTGATTACTTCAGTGAGTGTCAGATCCTACTTATTTAATCACTATAGCAACCGGTGCTTCTCTGGGGCACTTAATTTATTTTACCTTGTACTGCTGTCATTCATACCATGACGCAAAATCTTTGAGGTCAGGGGATGAGCCTTACTCATCTTTGCATATACTGAATGATTAAGAGAATATCACGTATCCAGTGTGGACTCAATTAACATCATGAACTTAATGAAATCATTATTTGAAGCTCTCGAAGGATTTCCAATGACCTATCACTTAAGGCTCTCAGAATCTGGTCTCAATTATCCAACTAATTTTATCTCCCATCACTGGCACTCTAAAGATTAATTCACTGGATGGCTGAAAACAAATTCTTAGCTTCAAGATTCTTTCCTCTCTCTGAAATGTGTTATATTTATTGGGGAATCTTGCTGAACCCTAACTCTGTATATAATCTTAAATGTTTTGTCCCACACTCCATTCAAACCATACCTACCTTTCATGGTTCGGCCCAAATTCCGCCACCTTTGGGGGACAAATAGCTTCTAAATTTCTTCTAATATCCACACTACTTATTATTAACATTGTATAGTATTACTGAGTTGATTAGAAAATCACTTTATGTTTTGTTTCCAAAACAAGATTATAAATTTTTAAGATAGATTCATTGTCTTCTTGTCTTTATTTAGATTCATTGTCTTCTTGTCTTTATACTCCCTAAATTTCCATCGCAGGTATAAACTCAATAAGGAGTTGACTCATTCCATTTTCTAGAAAGTCTTTCTTCCCTGAACCACAAGACTGGATGCAGTACTCTTTCTCTGTGCTATGCGGGATCAAGTAATTACAATACAAAATGGCAAAAATGAATGAACTACAGCTATTAATTCTTGCAACTACATGGAATGATCCTAAAGAACAATATTAAGTGGGAAAAATGTCCCAGGAGATTACATATAATTTCATTTCAATAAAGCTCAAAAAAGAAAAAGCAAAACTAGACACTCTATTGTGTGAACATACACACATATCTGAAAATACTGTTTAAAAAGTAAGGGAATGATAAAGCAAATTCTGGATAGAGGTTAGCTCTGGGGAGAAGGCAGAAGGAAGTGAGACAAGATGGGGGAACTTACACAGATGACATGGCTTTAGCAATATGTGAATTCTCAAGTAGGGTGTGGGTTTCTGGGTGTTCATTTTAGCATTATGTTTCATATCTTACTCATTTGTCTCATATATTATAATAACAAATATACCATTAGAAATAATAAAGGGGGAAAAGACAATTTTGGCAGTCAGGATTCATAACCACTAACCCTAAGGATAAAATTCTCTATCTTGTTTTATTATACTAGCTGGGTATTGGCAGTTCCTGTATTCACATACATAGCTCAAAACCAGAAGGATGTCAGAACCTACAAATGAATCTTGCCCTTCATGTGTCTTGTGATAAACAAAAGTTCATAATATTAATCTAGATGCATTTACTAACTTCTTTCATGGCTAGTAATTCTGAGAAATTAGTTTCTATTCCAAAATTCTAAAGAAATTCTTCTATGTTTTCTTCTAGAAGTTTTAACATTTTTGTCTCCATGTTTCATCTATCTGCCGGTATTTTTTGTATATAAGTGTGAGGAAAAAAGCCAATATGTGTGTCCTTATGCATGAGCAATTGCTCTAGCACACTTTATTAAACTGTCCTTCTTTTTTCAGTGATCCAGTAGCTGCTTTTGAGATCAAATACTTTCTGATTTCTCAGAATTTAGACCTTCCTTGGACTTAGATTAAATTCCTGCTTCTTACTGCCTGATGTCACAGCGCTGGATCCTGCCCTTTGTCTATTCTACTGTCTATGTTTTTTCAGATCTCTCTAGCATAAAGAAGCCCTTTCAGCAATCCCAGTCCCAGCAACAGTGAAACTAAAGTATGACAGTTTTTTGTGTTTCTAGATACAAGATAGTCACCTGTGCCTGAGCTGAGGTGGGGAAAGAAAACAGCTGGCTGTATCTTATCGGAGCTGTGCTCCGAGTCAGCAGCTTCTGCTTTCCCGTCCTTCCTGGTATGACACCAACTGTGCTGATTTCCCAAATGTTCTACAGCAGAACCAGAGCCACCAAGATCTCAGCCCGACTAAATTCAGAAACTCAACTAAATTTCTTTTTTGGAGAATGGGAATCTCTGTATCTCTAAAGATTTTCTTCTGCACAGATTAAATTCCTGATGACTTATCTATTAATGACAAATCTAAACAGAAGGACAGTTAGAAAAAAACAATCATCTCCATTCTCTAAGAGAAGAAATCATGGCTGAGAAGCTAAATGATCTAAATCAAAGGAAGAACTAAGAAAGGACTTCCAGCTCTGTAGAAATCCAGGTGATGGCACATTAGAAATCGACTTGTGGGATGCCAAAGGTTACAACCTATGCAGAAAGAATCCACTGTTTGGGAATCCACAGATCAGGTATCAAGTCACTCATTTAGTTTCCATAATGGCATCACTTATGGAAGAAGGTGCACACATCTTTCTAACACTGATAGGAAATAAGATGCTATGAATGTTGATCCCCAGGAGAAAGGAATGGCAACCCACTCCAGTATGCTTGCCTAGAGAATTCCATGAACAGACCATGGGGTTGTAAAGAGTCAGACACGATGGAGGGACTAACACACACACACACACAACGTTGCCCGGATCATGCTCATGTCATCCTCTTCTGGAAGATGCCCTAGTTCCCCTGAAAACAGTACCAAGTGGGAGCTGAAGCTGCTTTCTACCCCAATCCTGATCCCACATCCTTGGTCTTTCACTCCTTGAAAGAGTTTATGTTGAAGTGGAAGGTTCCTTTTCCCTGTTGCTGGGAAAGATTGAAGGCAGGAGGAGAAGGGGACGACAGAGGATGAGATGGTTGGATGGCATCACTGACTCAATGGACATGACGTTGAGCAAACTCCGGGAGCTGGTGATGGACAGGGAAGCCTGGCGTGCTGCAGTCCATGGGGTCTCCAAGAGTCAGACACAACTGAGTGACTGAACTGAACTGAACTGGAAGGTACCACAGCCAGGGTGTAAGGGATTCCCACTTGGTTTCACATCCCAGGGGATTTCCCACCACGGACTCCTGATTTAGGAAGTGCTAGAGAACATACTCAAAGGACAGGGAGAGCATTATTCCTTGCCAAGAGTCTCTAAAGTCAGACTAATTTCAAGATAAGAAGATGGAGTGCAGCACACTGGGCTTCTTAAAGCGATCACATAAGTATAAACACTGCTCTGCTTGCGGTGGAGCTGGAGGCTGGTGTTTACCTAGTCCTGGAATGAAGGCAGGAGATCGCAGAATGATTAATAAAGGAACTCAAACATCTGAAGCAGTAACAGAATGAGTGGAATGCTTCAGCTATCCGTTTTAACATGACTAGATGTACGGACGAACGGATCCTATCCTACTAGTTTGGTTTCCTGAGATATGAACTCCTATCGGAGCAGGCTATAATGTCAGCATGGCGGTGCAGGACTCTTACTTACCTCAGGAGCCGCAGCTCGGCCAGCAGCGTGGGGTTCTGCTGGGCTTTCTCCGGGGTGGGCTGGGACGCCTGCTCATGCTCCAGGCGGAGACGCTGAATCTCCTGCAGAATCTCTCTAGACAGGGTGGAGGAAAGAGATGGCTACGTGATGCTTCACAGCGGTCTCATACTCTCTCTCTGCTGTTAGAAGTTTTTATTCCACTAGTGCTGGCTCTATCTATCTTGTTCCGAGTGCTTCTGAACAACCAAGACGTGAAATGGACATCATCTTAAAATACCCATACTTCGTATTTCCTCAATGAAACAACCCTTTGTGGTAGAAAAAGTCATATAAATCTTCTCAAGAACTCGAAAAATCTCCACAGAAGAAAAATGACAACTAGAAGACTCAGTTCCTCTCTGGGGGAAACTTGCAGCCTCCGAATGCAGGTCTAGTGCCCATTTCCCTCAAGTCTTCCTCCGTCTTGCTTCCTCTCCTGACTCCCGACCCCTACCCCGAGAGCTGATGGCGGCCCCCTCCTCCACAGTGCCTGTTATCTTCTGTCCAACCTCCTCGTCCTGGTTCCTGCCTTTTCAGGGCGTGATGCTGTGTTGTTTGGGCTCCGAGCCTATGAGCGGCTTTTCTGTGAGAGACCCAACAGGGGCACGCAGCATCACGGGCCAGGACGAGATGGCGAGACAGAGCAAAGGCTCCTGGAGCAGAGTGGAGAAAGGAATGGTAAGAGGGGAACACACTGGTGGGTGGGGAAAAGAATTTCCCTGAGGGCACGTGAGCAGGGCTGCGGACTGCCAGAATGAACTGCATGCAGAGTTCATGCACAAATTAGTGTCCAGGGCAAGACTTGGGCTGGCCTATCTTAACCGAGGTGGAATCTTCCTTTGTGGCCAAAACCCATCTAGACTGCAAGGAAAACGAGAATCAGATACTCACATGATAATCTTGGGCTTATAAACTGGCTTGGCCTCTCTCTGCATTCTTACCTGTTTTTATTTTCCAGTTCTGCAATAAGCTGTCTTTGTTGTTTGTTGGCATCAAAGGTAAAGCTCAAGTCAGTGGGAGGACGGGTCTAGAGTGAGGAAGAAAGGTTTTTGGTTTTGGATTCAAATATATCCAGAGCCCCAGATGGACTGATTTTTTTTTTTTAAAGAAACAGATTTTTGAGGTATAATCTACATACCGTAAAATCCACCCATTTTAAGTGTACAATTCAATGAGTCTTAGTATATTTAAAGTTATGCAAACCAAGCACCACAGTCCAGTTTTAGAACATTATTCATCACCACGGAAAGTTCCCTCATGCCAGTTTGTAGTAAACTACCACTCCCATCCCCAACCACAGGCTAACACTGACCTGCTTTCTGTCTAGTTTTGCCGTTTCTATATACATATACATGGAATGATACAACATGTACTCTTTGGTTTCTGGCTTCCACTTACTATGTTTCTGAGGTTCATCCAGGTTGCTCCATGAATCAGGGTTCCTTCCTTTTTACTGCTGAATAGTATTCCACTGTTTTCAGCTTTTGGTTATTACAAATGAAGCTGCTCTGAACTCTCATTTACAAATCTTTGTGTTGATATGTGTTTTCATCTCTTTTGATTAAATACCTAAGAGTGGAACTCCTAAGTTACACTCCTAAGTAACTCTGTATTTAACATATTGAGAAAGTGTCAAACTGTTTCCCAAAGTGGCTGAACCATTTTACAATCCCAGCAATAGTAAAGGAGGGTTCCAACTTTTTCATATCCTTGCCAATACCTGTCATTGTCTTTTTGGTTTTAACCGTCCAAGTGAACATGAAGTACCTAAATTGTGGGGTTTTTTTAAATGAGATATAATTTACGTGCTTTAAAATTTACCCTTTTAAAGTATACATTTCAGTGGTTTGAAACTATATTTATAAGACTGTGAGCCCATCATCAGCATCTACTTTCAGGACATTTTTATCACCCCCAAAAGAAACCCACAGTCACTCCCCACATCCCTCTCCACTACCTTGTGACAACCTCTAATCTACTTTCTGTATCTATGGGTTTGCCTATTCTAGACAGTTCCTACAAATGGAATCATTCAATATGTGATCTTTTAAGTATCGCTTCTTTCACTTAGCAAATGATTTCAGGGTTCATTCATGTTGTAGCACATGTCAGTATTTCACTACTTTTTATGGTTGAATAATATTCCAACATATGGATAGACAGTATTTTGTCCATCCATTCAACAACTGATGAGCATTTGGGTTGTTTCCATTTTGGTGGACTATTTTGAATAATGCTGTTATGAGCATTTGTGGACAAGTTTCTGTACAGAGACATGCTCTCATTTTGGGAGGTACATAAGAGTGAAACTGCAGGTTTATATAGTAACTGTCTTTTGAGGAACTGCCAAGGCTGTTTCCTACATGGCTGCACTTTTAATGATATACGAATAATTTACATTCTCACTAGCAATATATGAGAGGTCCATTTTTCTACTTTCTTGCCAACAGTTGTTATTGTCCATTCTTTTGACCACAGTCATCCGAGAGAGTATAAAATGTATCTTATTGTGAATTTGGGCTTCCTAGGTGGTTCAGTGGTAAAGAATCCACCTGCCAATGCAGGAGACACAGGTCTGATCCCTGGGTTGGAAGATCCCCTGGAGAAGGAATTGGCAACCCACTCTAGTATCCTTGCCTGGAAAATTCCACGGACAGAGGAGCCTGGCTGGCTGTAGTCCATAGGGTCACAAAGAGTTGCATGCTACTGAGCATGCACACACATTGTGAATTCAATTTTTATTTTCCTAATGAGTAATATGTTCAGCATACTTTCACGAGCTTACTGGCCATCTAAATTCCGTTGGAGAAATCATTACGGTTTTGATTTTCAAATCCACTGACATTTTTTACTCTTATTACCTCCTTTAAGAATATGGAAGTCAATCAACACAAAATATGAAAATGGATGACTAGGTGACATTTCCCTTTTATTGATTACCCACAGTGGAAGCTCTAATGAAGGCTCTGGTATGGTTACGCTTCACTCCATGTATAAACATGATATATGATGAAGCAGAAACTTTGTTTCCTATCTAGTGCTTAAAGATGCAATCAGTAATTCTTTTCATGTGAAACTTCCTAAATAAACATAGGCAAAACAGCATAGCAAATGTGAGTCAGAGGCTTTTTTACTTAATCAAATTACCAAATGCTTTTCTTTTTTAAAAGGGAAAAAAGTCATCTTTCTTCCTACAAGAAGAGTGGACCAGTGGCCAATTGAGCAAGTTCTCTCTATTGTCTATGCACAGTCTTGTGAGAGCCTGAGCTGAACCTCAGAAAAATGGCAAGCCTGAGACTAAACCTGCTATGAATAATAGATTTACAAATCCTGAAGACTGGAGTTAAAATGAACGATTCCTTATCAGAGTGGGACCAAGGAAAATTATGGATGAGGAAAGGAACTGGTTTCATACGCTGACAAGTAAACAAATCCCCCAAAGTATTTCACTGGACATTTCTAAAGAATCTTTTTAGTTTTGAGTGTGTCTGACTGCAGTGCTGAAGCATCTTTCATAGAGGAAGTTAATGCATGAATCAAGAATTATTATCAAAACAGTGATTCCTAATGAGAACATGCCATACAGCACAGGAAGCTCTACTTAATGCAGTGTGGTGACCTGACGGGAATGAAGTCCAAAAGGGAGGAGATATACGTATATGTGTGGCTGATTCATTTTGCTGTACAGTAGAAGCTAACACAACATGGTAAAGCAACTATATATATGCCAACAAAAATTAACTTTAAAAAATAGTGATTCCTAACCAGGCAATATTCTTTGGCACCACGAAGCATTGTGACTCAAACATAAAGAAGTAGGGGTGGGGGCTTCCCTGGAGGTCAAATGGTTAAGAGTCTGCCTTGAAATGCTGGGGACACTGGTTCAATCCCTGGTCTGGGAAGACCCCACATGCCATGGGGCAACTAAGCCTGTGCACCACAACTACTGAAGCCTGAGTGCCTAGAGCCTGTGCTCCAAAACAAGAGAAGCCACAGCAATGCCAAGCCCGTGCACCGCAATGCAGAGTAGCCCCTGACCTCTGCAACTAGAGAGAGCCTACGCACAGCAACAAAGACTCAGAATGGCCAAACATAACTAAATAAATAAAAATTAAACACACACACACAAAAGAATAAGTAGAGGTGGAAGAAGATTCAAACCCTTAGTTGCTGTCCCACCTGGAGTAGCCTGCACCCTCGCTCCTTCACCTGGATGTAACAACAGGGAGAGCCCCTAGTGGAGAGAGTCGAATGCTGGCTTATTTCACTCATACAAACATCAAACATAGTCAAGGTACACTAAATAATAGAGAAATGTAGGGGTTTTATTTATTGACCACCTTAGACACCACAGTATTCCTTTAAAAAAAAAAAAATAAAGCCAGGTATCCCTTCCTAAAATGCCTCCAGAGAAAACGAGGGAACAGTTAGTTTAAAAAAACATGGAATACTTTAGCCAGAAGAGACCTAAAGATGGTTTCTTTCAAAAATTAAATAGTTCATTCATTTATTCAACAAATATTTCCTGAGCACTTATTATGTGTTAGATACTGTTCCAGAAACTAGGGATGCATTAGTGAATAAGGCAGTGGTCCCCAACCTTTTTGGCAGCAGGAATCATTACATGGAAGACAATTTTTCCATGGAACGGGGAGGCGGGAGGATGGTTTCAGGATGATTCAAGTGCATTATATTTGTTGTGCACTTTAACGACACTGCTGATCTGACAGGAGGCACCAGTCCCTGGCTTGTAGGTTAGGGATGCCTGAATACAGCTTCTACCCTCATGTAGCTTACATTATGGAGAAGGCAATGGCACCCCACTCCAGTACTCTTGCCTGGAAAATCCCATGGATGGAGGAGCCTGGTGGGCTGCAGTCCATGGGGTCACTGAGTCGGACATGACTGAGCGACTTCACTTTCACTTTTCACTTTCATGCACTGGAGAAGGAAATGGCAACCCACTCCAGTGTTCTTGCCTGGAGAATACCAGGGATGGCGGAAACTGGTGGGCTGCCGTCTATGGGGTCGCACAGAGTTGGACACAACTGACGTGACTTAGCAGGAACAGCAGCCGCTTACATTACACTGGGAAAGAAAGGTAAGAAATATATATACATATGTATGACATCAGTAGTGATAAATTTGATGAAGAAATACAGGGTAATGAAACAGAATAAACTGAAACAGAAGACTTTTTAAACTAGGTAGTTATAAAAGATTCAGTGAACCGAGGAAGCAAGCCAGGTGAAGGTCTGGGGGTTGGTGGCTCAGGCTTGCTGGGCAGAGAGAAGGGTGAAGGCCCACAGTGCTCCACGTGGGTGTGTTCAGTCAGCACTGACGGAGAGGAGTTAGCCGTGAAGCAAGGGTGGGAGATAAACTGGGAGAGCCCAGATCACAAAGGGCCTTTTTATCATGGGGTAGAGTTTCCATCCCATCCCACATGTGGCATGCAGCCACTGAAGGATTTCGAACAGGGAAACACTGAATTAATTCCAAATAACATAGGTACATACTCTGCTCTTAAGGAAGTGGAATCTAACTCCCTGTTCCTTAAGTGTGGCCTGTCCACAGTGACTTCCTTCCAAAGAGGACAGTGTAGAAAGGGGAAAAAAGAGGAACTTTATGTCAGATCATCAAGGTCAACATCAACAGAGATAAGTGACGCTGATACTAAACAAGTAAGATGTGAAGTGAGGAAAGTGGCACTTACCTCTTCCTCCCCAAAATCCACAATCCCAGTCTAATCATGAGAAAAATAGACAAGTCTCAATTAAAGGCCATTCCTCAAAACTGTCCAGGTCATTCCTCAAAACTGTCCAGGTCATCAAAAACAAGGAAAGTCAGTAATAAGCTATAATGGAAAATAATCCTATATATCATATATAAATATAGTTGAACCACTTTGCTCTATACTTGAAACTAACATAATATTGCAAATCAACTGTGTTTCAATAAAACAAACAAAAAACAATACAAAGTCAGAGAAAGTGTCAGATCAGAGGAGCCTAAGGAGAGATGACATCTTAATGAAATGTGGTATCTTGGATGGAGCCCCAGAAAAGAAAAAAGACATTAGGCAAAAACTAACAAATTCTGAATAAAGCACATTGTCGTCGTTTGGTTGCGTCATGTTTGATTCTTCTGCGACCTCAGGGTCTGGAGCCTGCCGAGCTCCTCTGTCCATGGGATTTCCCAGGGAAGAATATTGGAGTGGGTTGCCATTTCCTTCTCCAGGAAATCTTCCGAACCCAGGTCTCCTGCACTGCAGGCGGCATGGACTTTAGTTAATAATCATACATTGACATGTTGCAGCATGTTTGCTATACTAAAGTAAGATGTTACTAACACGGGAAAAGGAACATGGGTTATATGGAAATTCTTTGAACTAGCTTCAGAAATTTTCTATAAATCTGAAACTGTTCTGTAATGAAGTTTTTAACAAATAAACAAACAAACCCTACCAACTGGAGGATTCACTTTGTGGAATAAGAATGGAAGTTAGGAATCCTAGGGTCAGTTACTCGCCATGTAAACTTTGAGCTACTTTATTTTCCTATATACCTTTATTCTCTTGTCTGTAAAATTAGAATATTTATGGAAAAAGATCCCTTCCTCTGTCACCCTAGTATTCTCTTAGACTTCCCTGGTGGCTCAGACCGGAAAGAATCTGCCTGCAATGCGGGAGACCTGGGTTTGATCCCTGGGTCGGAAAGATCCTCTGGAGAAGGGAATGGCTACCCACTCCAGTATTTTCTCAAGTTTAGGTAATCTTACAGAGCTCCATCATCTTTAATAAGATGGAGACACAGCTGAAAAATACAGGATAAGGAACAAAACCCCATTGAGCAAAACTGGGAAAATTGGAAAAGACCCTGATGCTGGGAAAGACTGGAGGCAAAAGGAGAAGAGGGTGGGAGAGGATGAGATGGCTGGATGGCATCACCAACTCAAAGAGTTTGAGCAAACTCCTGGAGATAAAGAAGGATAGGGAAGGATGACGTATTGCAACCCATGTGGTTGCAAAGAGTCAAACACGACTGAGTGACTGAACAACAAAAACCATTAAACCAAGGAAAGTCAACATAGTCAGCAAACTGTAATCTGCTGGGATGCACTTCTGGAGCCTCCTAAAAAGAGATTGGAAGTTTCCTGTCTGGATGAACTTGGCAGAATGAGTTTTACAGATATGCCTGATGTCAGTTAGACTTCACTGCATTCCAGGGCAGCCCTCCCATCACCTCAGCCTTGCCTAGACTAACTGGAGGGCTATGGATTATTAATATTTCCCTCTCTCAAAAACCCAGTAATGTTTTTTAGGGCAGTGGTTCCTAAGGTAACTGTAAATCAAAAGACTGAAAATTTTCTTTTTGCTTTTTAAATGAAAATCAATAGACCCTGCTAAACCCATTGATTCTGGATTCAGTGATCTGAGGCAAGGCCAAGAAACTCTATATTTTTTAAGTGCTGCACACAAGATTATAATATGTAGCTAGGTTTGACAACGATGATTTTGTAGGGGTTTAAAATCATCACATGTGTGCCAAACACCCATGAAAATACCATTATCTTTAATTCTAAGAAGCCATAAGGATATATATGGAATAGTGTATGGGTGGAGCAGCTGACGTGATGATGAGGCTGTGAAGTCTGGGACCAGGCTCTGTGAAAAAAATCTCAAAAATGTGTAAATGTTAGATAGCATGACAATGGATAATGGTTTCCTTTTCCTTTCACTTTTTTCCCAAGTTGTCCATAGTGAGTTTTTAATTTTCTCATAAAGAAACTTTACAAATAAACAAAAAACCATCTGACTACATCAAATGCTAGTGATGTTTGTGATGAAATTTTAAGATTTGCCACACATTGTATTTCTGCTTTAAAAAGGAGCTTAGGCATGTCAGGAAAACAAATTTTCTCTCCTGGTTCATCTAAGCAATCTATAAATTCTCTGTTTGGGATCAGTCTCTGTTTAGAAGAGGTTTCAGTGGCCATGTCTAGCACCTGGGGAGATGTGAGGGTCTGACGCTGGAGCACTTCATAGGGTGTAATGCCGGCTGCTAAAGTGATTTAATGGTCTTTTCTTTGTGAAGTGTTTTGAAAAAAAAAAAAAATCAATACAAAGCCTATCTGGCAGGCTATAAATAAATTCTTTTGAGCACTACACCCACTTTATGCAAAGCACTTGTATCAGTGAGAGATTAGTAGATTAGAAGTCGTCTGTTTAATAGAAATCTAGTTAAGAAGACTCCACCCTGAGAGACCCAATATTTATAAGATAACTACACTTAGGAAAATAAACTGAAGATGAAAGGGGCCATATCAGAATTTAGTCTCAAGACCATTCTAACAAGGATTATTTTCACATGAATTAGAGAATTGGCATCAGAAACTATCAGGTGTAAACAGATTTATCTTGTTTGCAGTAAAGGAGTACTAGGATCTCCTTTTCAGGGTCAAATGGCTTTGGAGCTTCTATTTACAAAATTCAAAAAGTACTTTAAAAAGTACTAAAGTCAGCAAGACTGTATAATGGTATTAAGTATACTTAATTTTAAAACTCCAACCACAACACTACTCCATCTCAAAAAAATTAGTATTATTTGCAAATTTTAATTTCTAAAATAATAAATATTTGTGACTGACTGGTTTGACTAATCAAATAAAACTAGTCTTTTTCCAAGACTTTTTTCCCCCCATTCTGTTCCATTTCCCTAACCTTTAGAGTTGGAATGTTAGAGTCAGATGTATGACTTATTAGATTCTCAAGGAAAAGATTTTGAAGTATAAACAAATCCAAAGGAATAAATTACATTTTGAGAGAGAAACGAAGCAAAGCTCTCTATTGGCAGCTTTCATAACTATTTCCCTAGGAAGGAGTAAACAATACACTGTGGGATATTGTCCTGTAAGATCTTGGCCTGCCTGTCCAGTCTAATCTCACTCCAGAACTCCAGAACAATATTAGACCCAATGGTTTGTGATTCCTGTAACCCCTCTAAGAAATCTTATATAGTCTTGCTGACTGTTAAAATGTCTTTTCTGCATCTATTGAAGTATTATAATTTTCTTCTTTAAATTGCTAATATGGTGAATGACATTGGCTGATTTTCACGTGTTAAATAAATTTGCATTCCTAGGATAAATCTCACTTGATCATGGAATATTATCCTTTCTATATATTGCTGGATTCAATTTGCTAATATTTTCTTAAGGATTTTTGTATCTATGCTCATGACAGAACTTGGCTTGTAATGGCCTTGTACTGTTTTGGATTCAAGCTATGGTGACCTGATAAAATGACTTGGAAAGTGTTCCTTCTTTCTCTGTTTTCTGAAAGTTTGTGCCAGATTGTTATTATTTCTTCCTTAAACATATGATAGTATTCAACAGTTAAGCTATTTGGGCTTGGAGTTTTTGAAGTCAACTATGAATTCAATTTAACAGATTCAGGACTATTTAGATTTTCTATTTATTATGTCAGTTATGTAAATTTGTATCTTTCAAGAAATTTGTCATCTAGTCATCAAGTATATTCATAATATTCTTGCCATCCTTATAATGTTTATAGGCTCTGTAGTGATGTCCCTTCTTTCATTCCTAATATTGGTAATTTGCATTTTCTTTCTTCCCTTTTTATCTTTTTTTTAAACTGAAGTATTGTTGATTTATAATATTTTGTTAGTTTCAGGTATATAGTATAATGATTCAGGGTTTTTGCAGGTTACATTCCATTAAGGTTATTACAATAGGTATAACTGTTTGTGCTATATGGTAAATCTTTGTTGCTTATCTATTTTATGCATAGAAGTTTGCTAATCCCATATCCAAAACTTGTCCCTCCTACTCTTTGGTAACCACAAATTTGTTTTCTATGTCTGTCTGTTCCCATTTTTTTTTAAACTATCTATTTATTGGGTTGCACCAAGTCAGTTGTGGGCATGTGGGATCTTTGCTGTGGCATGCTGGATCTTTAGTTGCAGCATATAGGATCTAGTTGCCCGACCAGGAATCGAACCCAGGCCCTCTGCACTGGGAGCATGGAGTCTTAGCCATTGGATCACCAGGGAAGTCCCAAGTCTGATTCTGTTTTGCATATACACTTACTTGTATTATTTTTTAGATTCCACATAATAAGTGATATTGTATAGAATTTGCCTTTCTCTGTCTGACATTTCACTAAGCATAATATTCTCTAGGTCCACCCATGTTGCTGCAAATGGCAATATTTCATTCTTTTGTATGGCTGAGTAATACTCCAGTTTGTGTGTGTGAATCACATCTTCTTAATCCAATCATCTGTTGATGGGCACTAGGGTTGCTTTCATGTCTTGCCTATTGTAAATAGTGCTGCTATGAACACTGGGGTACATGTATCTTTTTTAATTAGTGTTTTCATTATTTTCCAGATATACACCCAGGAGTGGAACTGCTGGATCACATGGTAGTTCTATTTTTAGTTTTTTAAGGAACCTCCATACTGTTTTTCATAGTCTTCACCAATTTACATTCCCACCAACAGTGTATAAAAGTTCTCTTTTCCCCACATCCTTTTCCCTTTCTTTTTGATCAGGATTTCTAGGGGCTTATTAATTTTATCAATCTTTTTAAAGAACCAAATTTTGGTTCTTTGATTTTCTTTTACTGATTGATTTTTAAAAGCAGTTATTACAGATAAAATTAAAGGCCACTGCAACCCCCTCCTTAGATCTGTTTCCCGCCTCCTGTCTCTGAGGTATGTGCTCTCCAGAGCTCCATGTTTACCATTCCCCTTCCATCTGCACATTAAAATAATGTAAACTCCTGCTGCTCTGCTGTGATCCCCTATTTACTTACCACGTTTCCTGCCTCTGCAGCCAGCCGGGCAGCATAGCGGGCTATAAGCCGGTGCTCCTCGTCCAGTCGGCTAGGACTGTCCAGGACACTGCCAAGGAGATAAAAATTCAACAGGTATCTGTTAAACAACCCCTACTCTTGCTTCTCTCTCAGAAAGAACAGATGGGAGAAGTGCTTATGAAAAAGAATGGTAACAAAAGAAATGGAGACCTGAATCATAGATACTAATGGTCTTCTGAGACCAAAGGGATTTAGAGAAATAACAAGGCCACGCATACCATCTCTCTTGGGCAGTATATCTCTGTTGCTCCTACACCTTCAGAGGGGACACTTCTTTTTGAATGCAAAGGCTGAAAAGGGGGCATCTATAAAGCCTAGGAGCTATTTCCAACCGATTGTTTTCAGAAAACCTCATGACATTTAGATATAGGTCTTGAATTCAAAAGACCAAGAGAAAACTAAAGCATCATGAAAAAGAGAGGGCTGGGGAAGTACACTTAACATTGGCTGAGCAAAACTGAGGGACCTAAGCTAGGGCAGGTTCACAATATGATAAAGTTGGGGAAGATTCCATGGTATCAAACATTCCCCTCCAATGTTCCTTCTCTTCTTTTACCATGCTTATTCTACAACTGTAGCCCCAACTTGAGTGAATTAATTTAGTCTGTTACTCTTAACAACAGTTCCAGCGTTCTAAGAACTTTAAACTTCACTAAGGCAGTCTACCCATGCCAGTATTCCTGGGCTTCCCTTGTGGCTCAGCTGGTAAAAAATCTGCCTGTAATGTAGGAGACCTGGGTTCTATCCCTGGATTGGGAAGATCCCCTGCAGAAGGGAAAGGCTACCTACTCCAGTATTCTGGCCTGGAGAATTTCATGGACTGCATAGTCCACAGGGTTGCAAAGAGTTGGACGCGACTGAGTGACTTTCACTCTCATTTTCCACGAAGGTAGTGCCACTACCTTGGATAAAAGGATTCTTGAGCAGGAGGCTACTTCTGTGTATATGTTCTGCTCATATAGAACCTTCTGCTGATTACAGTTGACATCTTTAATTTAGGGTGTGATGTCAACTTATCCATATAAGGCACTTCCAGATTAACCAGCACTATGGCTATATAATTCTACTTTGTTTCAGTTCTGACAGCTTTAAGACAACAATAATGATGATGACTAACTGATGAGAGATGACTGTCGTGGCTTGTTTCTACTTTGGCTCCAGGTTCCTGGAGTTCCAAACCCCTGATTGCAATTTAACAGTATGACAAAATATGAAATATGAAAAAATTTATAAGACATGAGTTCAATATTCATCAAACCTTGTTATAATTACTGAAGGGAATCTGGGAAGGATGGTGGTAAATCAATAGAGATCTGGACTTTTCATATACAAAATCAACTATATTTTTCTTAGATTTTTTTTTTACCATCCTGTATTTCTATCTCTGTGACTAACTCTTTAAGCTTCACTTGGTCTTTCCTCTAGGATGAATTTTTTTAAAAAATGTGCTGCCACTGTCAACATCATGGTCTTCTGCCAATGACACTTCTCAACACTATATAATTTTAGGTGTGCAAGTGTCAGTCTCTAGGATATATTAATAAAATCATTTCTCAAAAGATGATCTTGCAATAAGAACATGCTACCAATAGTTGGCTTTAATACTTTAGGGTTAGGGCCCCAAGGTCAGGGCTGAACTATAGTATTTATGCCTATTTATTTGTCTGAAACAAGAGGACTCTATCTTTTAAATAACAACAAAACAAACATTTACCAAAACAAGTAGATACTGTTATGGAGGGAACAGCAGCTTAAGAAGTGGGACTTACAGTGGCTGCCCTCTGTGACACAATAGGTTCCTCTTTGCAAAAGAGGTCCTCCTTCTCCATCACATTCCCTCTCCCTAGGAAGGTCGATTTGACCTGTCATTCCTACCTGAGTGTGGAGGACATGGTTGCTTTAACTAGCCAAGCTTTCCAGCCAGAAACTAGAACTTTCTGTTGGTGACAGGTTTTAAGGTTAATGAAACTACAAGGGAAATTAGAAAGGTTCCTTATTCTTCTACTTCAGCTGATTTTACATCTCAATATTCAGAATTATCAATAGTTAGCCTCAAAATTTCTGTACAAAGCTCAGTTCCTTCAACTATAAAGCAAGAAGAGATGCAATACTCACCCAATCCTCATGTTCCTCCAGGGCTCCTGGCCACCAATTCTCGCTCAGGGAGCCTAATCTCTAAGCCATGAGACTTGAGGGTCTCAGCTAAACCTAGCATACATCTTCCTGGGCTGAAATATCAGGTAGTAGTGTCTGTCAAATATTCTGCTGCTGTATTCACCATGGAAACTTTTAATCACTTGGATAACTACCCTTACTGATACTAAGTAAGTTGTCTTGCTGGGGTGAGACAACTCTCTTCCCAGAGATCAAGGGACTGCGACAGAGTACTCAGAAATCATCTCTCTATGATACAACGCATAATTTGCAGGCCTTCCCCTCCAAAGAATAAGTTTATTAATTATAGCTGGGAGATAGGAGAACCCTATAATCTAATGCTTTAGAGACAGGTAAATGCCTGAAAGTAATAAACACCATTTGGTCATACTGGGGAAACTATGCGAAGTGCTATAAAGTATAATACTTAAAACAGTCCTTTTCAATTATACATATTTTAAAGTTGACTATTAATTTATTTTTCTGTTATCATGGGGAATAAGTGCTTCCTGTGGAGCCAAGGCATGTTAAGGGCAAAGCTATGATCAAAATTTAAGTGTCTAGCCTCTCCCACGTGTTTAAGTTTATAAATTAGTTTTCTCTCCAAGAGTAACAGTCTCAAGCTGTTTGGCACAGAGATTCTTTGCTGCTATATAAAGGGGAGGGATTATTAAACTTTAGGTTATTTAAACTTTACCTGCCATTCTCCTTGCAGAATGGTGGCAAGGGTGGGCATGGACTGGACAGGTGGCTTTGGGTCTACCTGAATGCAATGGCACTTTGTCTATTAACTCTTTTAAAGGGTTAACTTTGCTAGAGTTAGTGGTTATCAAATGTTTTTCCAGCATAACCCACTGAGGGATCAGACATATTCCCATATTAACCGTAGTTTCTAGTTAATTATAATACATATAATTATTACAATATGAGGAGGTATATATGGTTTGGTAAAAGTCTCTCAGGTAACAATGACTCAATACTACTGTTAAAAATCACTGGTTTAAATTATCAACAATGATAAGGTTTTGGGGAATGGATGATGATGCAACATATAAAGATGTAACAAGGTGATGGTGTCAAAGCCTCCACCTTAGACAAGGTGCGCCAATCAACCCTAGACTTTGAACGCTGATCGAAAGATTTCATTATTTAGGCAAGAACAAACAGGAAGAGGTTGTATCAAAAACCTCTGTGAATACACGGCTTTGGGACTGCACATCTCTGAGGTTTACACTCTTAAAAGTGTAGTCTGAAGGAAGGAAGGGCACTCCACTTTAAGGAAGAATTTCTGACTCTGTGTTTAGGTAAGTGCCCAGGCTTGGCAAGGCTCCTTCTCTTTTAGAAGCTAATGCTTTAGCAATTATTTAAACTCTGCCAAACATAGCTGGTAGCTTCTCAAGAAAAACCCCACACGCGGAGTATTTTCCAGCTGGCAGCCCCGGGTAACAGAGCTCTCCCCCCCTCGGATCAGCCCTTGGCCACCCGCCTGCTGCTGCTCTACCACTGACCGTGCACAGTGCTGCAGACGGGCCACATAGGAGGCTATCAGCGCATGCTCATCAGCCAAGTGACTGGGTATATCCTGGCTACACTGTAACCTAGGAACAACGGAGGCAAAGACAGCAAGCGGGACACACACACATACAGAGCAAGAAAAGAACATGGATTAAAATGGGCAAACGTCAAAAAAAAATAGAACAAAAAAAATAATGATAAGGAAAACAATGAAAAACCACAAGGCATAATGGAATCTGGTGTTAGACCATAGGGAGTACATCTTACATCTCATCAATCCCTTCAACAAAAGCAGCCCCTTCAAAAACGGCTTTGGTGGGTGGGCTGCTACTAGAGCCAGTGAAAAGGAGAAACCGATGAGGGGGCCACCGAGGAGCCTTACCTACCAGGTTTGCCCAGGTTCCGGGCTCCGTGATGGATGCATCTTGTAGGGAATGCCCTCTGGCAGGAAAACTGAGGCACAGTGGGTCCATTTAATCACTGAGTGGCCCCTTAATGCTCCTATGGCTTCTGTCTACCTGTCAGAGTTTTCAGTTTCTTCATGTTACCAATTAAGCCTTTTTATTTCTACAAGGATACTGCCTTTAGCATTACTCTATTTTCTCCCATAAAACTGATACTTATACAAAACTTGTTAGAATTGTATTTAATTGACAATGTTGCATACAATCTGAGTGAGGCTCTTTCTTGCAGTCATTTGGAAAATCCTTAAGCACATGATCTTTTTTTTTAACTTTTCACTAGAGAAGTATTAAAAATGCACAAAATAGAAAAAGTTATTTAATGACTACCATTTGGAGGAAGATATGGCAACCCACTCCAGTATTCCTGCCTGGAAAATCCCATGGACAGAGGAGCCTGGCGGGCTACAGTCCACAGGGTTGCAAAGAGTTGGACACACCTAAGTGACTGAGCACGCACACTTCATGGACCCATCACAAAAGTTCAACAAAGACCAATATCATCAACTTATTTAATTTATTCTTCCTTTTTCCAACTTTTTGTGCAGGAGGGTGTGGCTAGAATAACACCAATTTATTATTTTGTCTGCAAATACTTGAGTCTGTACATCAGAGAAAAAATTTATACAACCATGACACCATTATCATGTCTGAAAAAATTAACAAAAATTCTTGAATATCTTAGTCCATCTGAAAATTTAAATCTTAAAAAATATCCTTTTAAAGCTGAGATCTAAACAAGGTCCACACTTGGCATTTGGTTGATGTTTTCTGTGTTTTTTTTTTAATGTTGGGATTTGATTGTATGTTTCTGTTTTTAATCTGTAACAGTTCTTCCTTTTCCCTGTTTCTTTCCAATCATCTACCTGTGAAGAAAACAGGTTACCTTGTTGCATATCCTACATTTTGGAGGCATCATTAAACTTGTTTCTCTAGCCCCTGTGAGGCCAGATCTAGATGCTGGACTAAAGTTTTTGCTTTTGTTTTGTGGTTGAGACAGGGCTAGGCTCCATCATATATAATATGATGTACTTATAAATCAAAACAGGAGGTACATAATGGAAGGGAATGGAAATACTGATCAGTGGATTCAGATACTATTGGTTACATCTATTACAAACATGCCCATCAACTTTTCACCTAATAATTTTAGCATTTAAAATGATTCTTGCCTAGATACATTATTTCATGAGGGGTTACAAAATGCTGACTAGTTTTATCACCTTTTGTATGTTTATTCATTTCTTGTATTTGCTTACTGTGAAATACTGCTCATTCAGGAAAGGTAAAACAAAAGGTTAATATTTCTTATTTAACAGCAACAATAGAAAAATGAGCTAGTCCCGTAGGAGGGTTTTTGTTTGTCTTAATATCATTATAAACTCATAGATTTTTGTGTATCTGATGTGCTTCAATCCATTACAATGGTATTCAAATTGTCCTAACTTTGGCCAGTGGGAACCCCAGGAAGCAGGCTCCACTAGAGCTTATTAGCTTCCCTGTTTGTACAATAAAATGCCTCAGTCTCATCTTGTATATATCCTACTCCACACTTAGAAACAACCATTCTTCCAAGGGTCCCGGATCCCCTTTACTGAGAAAGAGCATTCAGAAGCCACAATCAGGGTACTAGAGTGCTCACTGCTTTTGGGTTGTCACCACTTCCAGGTTTTTCAGTGGATAAAGCTAGGAAATTTCTATATTTTAGAGAGAATAAAACTGAGTTCTTTCAGCACTTTCAGATATCACTCTATTTTCTTTTTTTTTTTTCTATTTTCTAACTTACATTATTTTCATTGAGAACTCACTGGAAAATTTTACCCCTTGTTCCCGTATGTAACATGTCTTTTTTTCTCTAGCTGCTTTTAATATCTTCTATCACTGCAGGTTTTTTTTGCGATTTGATTGTGATTTATGTTGGTATGTTTTCCTCTGTGTTCATTCTGCTTACAGTTTGTTGATCATCTTGTATCTCTGTGTTGGTAGTTTTCATTAAATATGTAAAAATTTATCCAGAAATTTGGAAAAAAAATATTTCCATGAATTTTTCCTCCCCTGTTAGACTGTTTGACATTGTCCCAAAGGTCACTGAGGTTCTGTTTTTCAAATATTTTTCTCTCTGCTTCATTTCAGATAGTTTGTATTGCTTTAAGTTCAGTGAACTTTCATTTTGTAATTTCTGACCTACTGTTAAGTCCATTCACTGAATTTTTCAGTATAATCTCTTTCAACCCTGTAAGCTCTATTTTTTTATTTTAAAGGTTTTAATGGAAGTAGACTATACATGCAAAAAATTACAATCACATTTATACTAGGTTCTTTTTTATTTCTCACATTTTCTCCACATTATGTTGATATTTTCTTTTATAAATATATTTTAAAAATATTTATTATTTGGCTGCACCAGGTCTTAGTCATGGCACTCGGGATCTTTACTCTTCACTGTAGCATATGGGACCTTTAGATCCAGCATGCAGGATCTTTTTTTTTTTCCCCCCTCAGTTGTGGCACGTGGGATCTAGTTCCTTGACCAGGTATGGAACCCTGGCCCCCTGCACTGGGAGCACGGAGTCTTAACCACTGCACCACCACAGAAGTCCTGCTTTTATATTTTTGATACTTATCATGGATGCTTGAAAGTCCATGTCTGCTAGTTGCATCACATGTGTTATTTCTGGCTCGGTTATGTTGACTAATTGTCTCTTGGTTACATGTCACACTTCCCTGCTTCTTCTTACGTCTTTCAATTTTCCACTGAATGGTGCAAACTCTGAGTATTATGTTGCTGAATGTCTGGATTTTGTTGTCTTCCTCTTAAGAATGGCAGTCAATTTCCTTGTGAACAGCTTGATCCTTTTGAGGCTTGTGTTGAAACTTCATTAGTGCAGATCTAGAGTAACTTTATTTAGGGCCAATTTGACCCCGCTCCTATGATGTGGTCCTTCTGGGGTCTTCACTGAGTGACTCAAGCATTCAATCTTGTCTCTTTACTTTGGTTGGTTAGAACTCAAACTATATATGTTGGTTGGAACTCTACAGTGTGAGCTCAGGTAGTTGTTCCACTTTCAAATCCCCAGGAGTTATTCTCTCTCAGATCTTGTGAAATCTCATTACATGCAAATACAGCTTAGTTTTCAGCCAAAGAGTCAAGAGATCTCTCTTCAGATTTATGGAGCTCTTTCTCTGAATATGTACTCCTCTCTGGTGTTTTGCTCAGCAAATTTTGCTCCCCAACTCCAATCTTTACTTTCTTACTCTCAGCAAGACCGCCTTGCTCTACTTATATCCTGCACTGGTGTTTGGCAAATGCGTTCCTGCAGAAAGTCTGGGTGTTCATGGGGCTATCTCACTTGTTTCTCATCTCAGCAATCAGTCCTAGGCTACTTACTGTCTAATTCCTGAAAACAGTTGTTCTTGCATTCAGACCAGTATTCCAGTGGTTTATAGTGACAGAGCTAATCAGTTAGTTCACCATGACCAGAGTGGAAGTTCTCTCTGTAGTAACTTATTTTTATCATATCTTTGTAAAGCATCAGTCCACTTCAAACTAGAATTCAAAACAAAGCTGGGTCTTTATGGCAGACAGATTGAGAAGTAGGTTATATAATCCTGCATACCAGGACAAAAGCTTTAGCTTTTACTCTGAAATTAGACGTTACTGGAAGGTCTTGAGCAGAAGTGAGGTATAACTTGTATTTTAATAGGATCATTTGCTACAGGAAGGATAAAGTGCCAGAGAGCAGGGGGAAGAAGCAGTCAATTAGAAGGTGGCTTGACATTCCAGATGAGAGACAAGAGTGGCTAGGAAATAGTAGCCGTAGAAGTGATAATAAATAACAAGATCTTAGATAGACTTTGACAGTGTTTTTGGATAGATTTAATAACCTGACAGTTTAGATGGGAGAAAAATTAACGATTCTGACCAAGCAACTAAGAAAATGGGACTGCCATTCACAGAGATGGGGAAGAATATGGGAGAAGCAGATTTGGTGGGAGAAGATAAAATTGAGCTTAAAATATGCTAGTTATGAAATATATATTAAATACCCAAGTGAAGGTATTGATTAGGAGGAAGATATGTGAGGGAAAAGGTGAAAGTTCAAGGAAAAAGTCTCGGTCATAAAAAGAAGTTTTGGAGTAACTAGTATGCAGATTTTATCAAAAGTCAAGAGTACGGATGGGATCACCTACAGTGAGTTGAGTACAGACAGAAAAGAGAAGTGGTCCCTCTGGTATGCTAACATTTACAGGTCAAAGAGATATGGAAAAATCAGCAAAGGAGGCCAAGAAGGAATAGGAGAAAAGCCAGAAGAGCATAGTATCTGCAGGCAAGCGTAGAAAAGTGTTTCAAGTACAAGGGAGCAATCATCTACATCAAATGCCACTGACAGGTCAAGCCTGTAAGTCCTGAGAATTCAACACTGGATTTAGCATGTGGAAGTCTCTGGTCTCCTTGACAAAAGTGGTTTTGGCAGAGTAACGGGCACACAAATCTGACCATGATGTGCTCCAAAGGAAATGGCAGAACAGAAATTGGAGACATTTACTATAGAAGCAACAGTCCATTAAACTCCATTTTAGTGTGATACGAAGACTGCTATTCAGAACTAGTGTTGTTTGCC